GCAGAAACCTCGTCGCACAGCGCTTTCCTAACAGAGCAGGTCAGACCCTACTCTGAAGTTAATTACAGAAACCCAACAATTCCCACATCCCATATGATGTGTTTGGCCTAAATCAGACAGTTTTACATGTCTCAGAAACACAACGGTCACTGGTTGTCCTTTACAAACTCAGATAGGTATTCAAAACCCTTTTCAAATATGAAAAAATCTGTTGAAGATATCCATTTATTACTTCAAAATATGAAGCTCACTGGTTGTCCTTTAGAAACTCAGATAGGTGTTCAAAACTTTGTTAAAAAATAGACAGATCTGTTGCCGTTATCCGTTTATTACCTCAAAATATCAACCTCTCTTGTCCTCTCATTAGATTGTGAAATACCACAAACCCATCTGGGACCAACAGCCATGCCACTAACTTCTGTAGGTGAGCGTCATTGGCCATTTAGTTCAATGCAGTCTGACCCTGACAAAGACTTCTACATCTAAACAAATGGAGTTGCTGTGTAATAAGCTGTATGAAGTACACAGTCATTCAAAATGACAAAAAAAGAAAGTCCAAGCCTGCAGCACTTCCTCAGTTAGAACATCCTTATCAATGAAACTGAAGCACTATCTGCAGGCAAATTTTTCCATTCTGTTCAAATACAAAGGGAAACTACCCAAAAAAAAGCACAGATATAGTCATCAACTCTTTAAGCTACAGCTATAAAACTCCTGGAATGAGAAGTCATCGTACATAGCTGAAAAAACCATGTGGCTGTGAGGGCACAGAGCACACGTTTCTGTTTATATCTGTAACTTAAACCCTCATTGACTGGCAGCCATTTTCAGAACAGAGTCCCATACTGCCAGAGTTTTTTTTTAGCATTTTGACTGATTTTTCCAGAGCCACAGAATAGTTTGTGCTATGACTATGTAAACACCGAACACACCAAAAGAAAGAGTAGACTCTCTTCTTTCATCAGGAAAAAAAATGTGTTTCTACCTTATTCCGTTCTTCCTGGACTTGCGTCTCACCGGCGACATGTTCTCTCATAGAACCGTTCCCTTTTTCTTATTTGCCTACAGTCTATGCTCATCTCCCATCAAAAGTGGCACTGCCCCCTAGAGGCTCAATTTGTTACTACATACTCTGTCTAGAAGCCCATATTTACGGACAAGCTTTAGCAGATCGTCCCCCAGACACTCTCGTTAAAAACATAAAAGACCTCTATAGACGTCTTTGGCAGCCAATGAGT